CATCCTTCCTCCTTCCTTCCTCCATCCCTTTCTTTCATCCTTCCTCCCTTCCTCTCCCTTCATCCCTCTTTAGTTCATCCTTCCTCCCTTCCTTTCTCCCTTCCTCTTTCTTTCATCCTTCCTCCCTCCTTTCTCCCGTCATCCCTCTTTCTTTCATCCTTCCTTTCTTCCCTCCCTCCCTCCCTCTCCCTTCATCCATCTTTCTTCCTGCCTCCCTCCGTCCCTCCTTTTTTTCATCGTCCTTCCTCCTTCCCTTTAACCATCTCTCCCTTTCCCCCCTCCCTTTAAAGCTTCTTTCTTTCATCTATCTTCCTCCTTCCCTCTGTTTTAATCTTCCTTCCTCCATATCTAACAAAATGAAATTCAGTGTAGAGAAAAGTAAAGCCCTACACTTAGGCAAGAAAAACCCAAAGTACACATGTAGATTGGAGTGAAACCAGGCTTAAAAGCAGTAACTGGGAGAGGGATCTTGGAGTCTTAGTGGACAACCAGCTAAATATGAGCCAGCCGTGTGCAGCAGCCGCCAAAAAATCCAATGCAATCCTAAATTGCATTAACACAGGGATACAATCCAGATCAAGGGAGGTACTAATACCACTCTGTAAAGCCTGAGTAAGACCACACCTAGAGTACTGCATCCAGTTTTGGCCACCACACTATAATAAAGATGTTGAGGCTCTAGAAAAAGTGCAGAGAAGAGCAACCAGGATGATGAGGGGACTGGAGGCTAAAACCTACGATGAACGGTTGGCCTGGCTAGTCTAGGGAAGAGAAGGACCAGGGGAGACAGGAAAGCAGCCTTCCAATATTTGAGGGGCTGCCCCAGAGAGGAGGAGGAGGGGGTCAAGCTATTTTCTAAAGCGCCTGTAGGCCAGACAAGGAATAATCAATGGAAACTGAACAAAGAGAGATTCAACCTGGAAATAAGGAGCAACTTTCTGACAGTGAGAACTATCAACCGAATGAAACAGAAGTTGCCTTCAGAAGTTGTGGGAGCTTCATCCCTGGAGGCTTTCAAGAAGAGACTGGACTACCATCTTGTCAGAAATGGTGTAGGGTCTCCCGCTTGGGAGGGGGGTTGGACTAGATGACCTACAAGTTCCCTTCCAACTCTGATTATCCGTTATCTGTTACCTTTTTTATCTTCCTTCCTTCCTCCCTCCCAGCCATCCTCCCTTTCTCCTTTCTCCCTCCTTCCTTTCTTCCTCAGCCTCCCTCCGTCCCTTCAAACATTCTTTCTTTCCTCTACCTTCCCTCCCTCCTTCCCCAGGGGTGCAGAGAGGGCACCCCCCAATAAGTAATAAGTTGCATTCTTAACGTTTATGGAAAGTATGTGCCTCTTGATCATGAGGATTCTGCAAAGGTCGTAACTATGAAAAACAGTCACTTTTTTTCCGATGCCGTTGTAACTTTGAATTCTTGCAATTTGAGGACTACTTGTATTGCAATCGTTGGCAGAAGGAATTTCAGTTTAAATAAGAATGAGGCCCCCACAGGTCCTGGGTGCCGGGGCTCAAACACACTTCCAAAGCTATAAAAGGCCGAAATTGAATCTGGTTTAATTTAAATTAAGATTGGACACGAAAAAGCCCCCAAATCAAACAAAAGTAATGCAATAACTCCTTCATCAAGTCACCACTATGTTGCTTTTTATTGATGTGATATTCCTCCTTTTGCGATGAACTATTGGTTCGAAAATGATCCTGAGTTCAATCTCCTGACACATGGGTGGGTTTAGGGGAGGTCATAGGCTTTTTGGGGGTGCTATATGAGGGCTATGGGACATCTAACCCTCCTTAGTCAGTTGTTCGTTCCTGAATTCTTCGCTTAGCTGGCTGCAAGTGAGGTTAGGAGAGGTTGATAAGGTAAGTCTTTCTCAGCATCCTTCGGTTTGATGGGGGTGACTATCGCATATCAATCTTCTGTGGGGTCCTGGGTGCCATCTGAGCTTGTGGGGGGGGGGTTTCTTTGCAGACGTTTCATGACCCGACTAGGGAACATCATCAGATCTAGAAGGGAGTGTTGTTCACAGAAAGGAGGAGGAGGACTGTGAGGTCCTTGGTATTCACTGAGCTTGGTGGTTTCCTTGCAGACGTTTCATGACCCAACTATCGAACATCATCACATCTAGAAAGGAATGGGGTTTGGAAAGTAGAGAAGAGAAGGAGAAGAAGAGGAAGAGGTGCTCTCATCAGTGCTACAAGGAAGGGAGATTTGCAGAGGGGAGGAGGAGGAGGAGGAGAAGGGGAGGAAGGGATTGAGAAGGAGGACTGTGGGGTCATTGATGCTCCCTGAGCTTGGTGGTCTTGTAGATGTTTCATGACCTACCTACGTAATGTCATCAGTGCAAGAAGGGAGGGGGGGTTTTCAGGGAGAAGGAGGAGGAGGAAGAAGGAGAAGGAGGAGAAGAGGAGGAAGAAAAAGAAGAGAAGAAGAAGAAGAAGAAGAAGAAGTAGTAGTAGTAGTAGTAGTAGTAGTAGTAGTAGTAGTAGTAGAGGAAAAAAGAAAGAAAGAGAGAGAGAGAGAGAGAGAGAGAGGATTGTGGGACCCTTGGTGTTCTCTGAGCTTGGTGGTTTCCTTGCAGACATTTCATGACCCAACTAGGGAACATCATCAGATCTAGAAAGGAAGGGGGATTTGCAGGAAGGATGAGAAGAGGTGGAGGAGGGCTGTGGAATCCTGGGTATTCTCGGAGTTTGGTGGGGTGTTGTTGTTTTTTGCGGATGTTTCCTTCTGGGTGTTAAGGGTGCCCTTCTATCGGTTTCCAGATCTCGGTGGTTCTCGTTGCCTCCTGCTACATTCTCACCTTCTCCGCGGTGCTTCTTTCCCTCCAGGTCGTGGATATCATGCGAGTGAACGTGGACAAGGTCCTAGAGAGAGATCAGAAGCTTTCGGAGCTGGATGACCGCGCCGATGCCCTTCAAGCCGGAGCGTCTCAATTCGAAACCAGCGCCGCCAAGCTTAAGCGCAAATACTGGTGGAAGAACTTAAAGGTAAGACGGAGGACGACTTCCTCCTCCCCCTCCTCCTCTTCCTCCTCCTTGCCCACAAACCTGGTGGCCTCCTTCCCTTTCTCCAAAGGAGCCACCAAATCTTAACTTTGAGGAACCTTGTTGTTTTCTCCCCAGGAAGCCCAACCAACGTTACACGGAGAAGACCTCTTGAGATTAAAGAGATGCCTTCTTGCATCATTTCTCCAGGGCAGGGATCAGCAACCTTAAACACTCAAAGAGCCGGAACTGGAAGTCTGGTTTTCCCACCATAGAGTCTCTTCCTAGCGCTGGAAATCTGGTTTTCCCACCATAGAGTCTCTTCCTAGCGCTGGAAATCTGGTTCTCCCAC